ACAAGGAATACAAATCTTACAAAGATGACAGGTAATTGTTGAAACTTGTCTGAGTTAGGTTTAGCTTCTAATTAGCCTTTAATAATTGTCAGCTTAATTGCTTTCAATTTTGACTGTGTGATCTAGTGTTTAAATTTAAACAATTAAAATTATTTGTTTTACAGCAAAAATGTATTTGTCTTTTACACGGCTTATGGTGGATGAGGACAAAAACTTTGGAATAGCAAGCTAACACTGAAAAAAAAAATGACAAATTAATGTGTCCTATTATCCAGGCTACATCAGGAGGTTGGACTTCAATGCAGTGCATTTCTAGAAACAGTTTGTGTAAGAACTTTGGTTCGTTATGCTTGATTCCGCACTTTTTCAACTCATAACACCCAGAGTACAAGAATTTTAAGCTGATATCTAGTGGTTTAACATGGGAAAAATGGGGGGGAGGAAAAACTAGAGATAGTAATGTGTATTAGTCTTTCAAAGTAATGTTTCCATGGATACTGTTAGCAGTGGTAAGATAAATCACAGGTATGACTTTTCGGGTGTTGCATTAGAATCATGTAAATTTGATCATCATAGAGTCAAATAAATACTAGGAATACAAAGTATTATAGATAATCATTTTCCTTGCTATTCATTAGGTAAATGGTGGATTTTACTTGTGTTTTTAAATTTATTACTGGTGTTTATAATGTCCTATCTTTTTTATTTCTAAAATGGTGTTATGGCCCAAATCATACCAACCGTTCTCACCCAGGGTATATAAACTGCAGTCATTTTGAAACTTGGCCTTAAGAACATTCTTACTTTTTCCTTCTCTTCTTTTCCTCTTGTTAAAAATAACAAAATATTATATAAGTTAAGTTAAAAATATTGAAGAACTTGACGTTTTCAGACTACCAGTTTCTAACTGGCAGGCTTTATCATGTTTTCCAGTAGTGATGTGTAACAAATATTGAAGGAGAGTGGAAACAGACTATGTCAAAGTTTAACACCCACTTATTTTACTTAACGTGATAATTTTAATAGGGGTAGTTTTTTTTTTTTTTTT